CGACTCAGTGCAGTTGCACTGAGGTCCTACCTGTTGACCTTGCCACTTGTCTTCGTCTGAAAACGTGGGCCTACCTTAGACTCACCACTTGACCACTTGCCCACTTGCCTACCTTCTAGAAGGTCTACAGCTAAGCTTCCAGAACTCACTAAGATTCCTACGCTATAGACCTACAGATCGAACCCCAGCTGTCTACGGACCTCCGACAGGTCTACCAACTGCCTATGAATACACAGGTCACAGGTTCAATTCTCGGGGTTCACACAAATACTGTACAGGTGTAGGGTGAGGTCTAGGGATCGAACTATGAGTACTGCATCCGCTTTTACTAAAAGGTGAAAACCGTTTCAACTCTCTCTGATTGCAGAAAATTGTACTCAAGGCTTTTGACACTTTTCTTGAGTGGCGATGCCGAGCTGATTACTGGGTAGATGAGGCAAAGTCAAGACCATCTTCAGGAGGCATGTGAGCATATTCAGAATTTAGTAGGCCCAGGACTACCCTGACAGTAATCATTTAGTATCAGCTAGGACAAAGGCAGTGCGTGCTTTTGGTCTGTGTTCACAAGATACCAAAAGGAGTTTGTGTTCACGTGTGCTAGTTCAGCGTGGTCTTGTCCTGCTGGAGCAGCTGGTGCTTGCTGATATGGTAGTGGCTGCTAAGAAATTAGAAGTTGTGATCAGCTGCGAAGCTGGAAAATAAACACCACCCGTGGTTGAAAAACTACTGAAAGAGTTCGCTGATGTGGGAGAGACCCCGACAGGAGTAGTGGAAAGGGAAATCAAGCACCAGATAGAGATAGAGCCCGGTAGCAAGACTCCCAAGGGGCCCATTTATCGAATGTCTCCGAAAGAACTCGCTGAGCTGCGCAGGCAGCTTCATGAATTAATAGAAAAGGTGTGGATTAAGCCCAGCTCCTCACCATATGGCGCACCGGTCCTGTTCATGCCTAAAAAGGAGGGCGAACTGCACATGTGCATCGACTACAGGGGTTTGAACGCGATTACGGTGAAAACCGCCGAACCTTTGCCTAGAATCGATGATCTGTTGGATAGGGTGCAGGGATGCAAGTATTTTTCCAAGATTGACTTGAAGTCGTGCAGTACCACAAACAACCCTAGAATCTCAACCGAGAATAAACCACCTTGAACAAACTAAGGACCAAGCTTCAACAAGCCTCAGGAGCCTTTCTCCTCCCTCCAACATCTTGCTCCACACAGCACCACCTTGAACANTGCTCCACACAGCACCACCTTGAACAAACTAAGGACCAAGCTTCAACAAGCCTCAGGAGCCTTTCTCCTCCCTCCAACATCTTGCTCCACACAGCTGGCTGTGGTGCCGAACCCAACACACGGCACCCAGCGCTAATCCTTGCAGACCGCTAGCGCTTTCCTCCTAAGGTTTCAGCAGCACCAGCGGAGCCCAGACAACACTCAGATGCGCCAGCACTGGGCCAGGGACCTCCTAGTAAATGCAGCGCCAGCTTCAACATGAAGAAGGAACCTCCAGCTTGAAGAAGAAGAAGCACAGCTGCCATTTACAGCTGCCATATACAGCTGCCATGGAGAAAAAGATACGGCAGTGCCTAACCCCACAGCACAGACATGGTGCCGGCAGACTCAGCAGATGAAGCACCAGCTTCACTGCTGCCTCAAAACCATAGCAGCCGCTGCCCAGCTACAGCGCTGCTCTAGCAGCCTGGGGGCGTCAAGAGCACTAAACAACTGCTCCACCAAAGACAGCTAACGCTTTGGCCTTACTTTATTTATATTTCTGCACTAACCTACCCGACTGGACTGCCTAGGACCTAAGACCAACTAACATTTATGGGTCTGTGGTTTTCCAGTAACGACGGTACCGGTTCGGGGAAAAGCTAGACCAACTAACAGTTATGGGTCTATCTTTTCAGTAACAACGGGTGCCAGTTTGAGGCAAAAGTAAAGCAACAGTCGAGGCCTGAAGGAGGTTTAGGCCCAGTAGGCTCCGTTTCTGCAGTAGTTTAGAGAATTCGCAGAGAAGTCCTTGTCGGCTTAGGCCTGTTTCAATTACCGGTTAAGGACACAGAACTCCAAAAAAATTGCAAAATGGTCCCCCAGTTAGTGCCACAGCCCTCTGGAAAACTGCAAGAAGATTGCAGTCACCACGCCGTGTTAACCAGGGCTCAGCCAGGCTAAGATACTGGTTTGTGCGGGACCCAGTCAATTCTTTTTTGGTGCGCGGCAGAAATCCGGATCACGAAAGAGAGGCCCAGTTGGTGCACCCATGAACTGTTGAAATAAAAGCCCGAGTTCGAGTCCAGACGGAACTAGATGAATCCAATATCTGAATAACCGGGGGCCGATAAGCTCGGCAATGATATCTCAAGGCCGTCGCCCTTTTAAAAGGATGGGTCAGCAAAGAGAGGCTCCAAGGGACTGGTGGTTGAAGCGTCTCCAGTGAGGTGGAACTGCGAGGGCTGGCTGGAGAACAATAAATATGAGAGTTTGGTTAAATAGAGGAATCAATGCGTTCAAAGCTTTTGGAACTAGAGAATCGTTCAGTCTGGTTCTGCTGAATACTGGAGATTGATTCTCCCTGTTAACCGTTTGTGCTGCAGGGATGGTCGGACGGCAGTGTATCGATCGGAACGAATAGAGAAGAATGCATTTCTGCAAAGCCTGGACAATGAAGAGGAAGAGATGGAGGAGAAACACAGCCAGCAGCAGCGAACCTGTGGGGTCCAAACTGGTACGGATGAGGTTGGAGAGGGCACATCAAGAACGACGACATGCACTGCGGCTGAAAAGGACAGGGAAAGGGCTGAGGTGCTGGAAATCGGTGTGCAGTATTGGACAGACTACGCGAAATGGGAGTTTCATCATAAAAGTGTTTTGGAAGTTGGTGGTGTGTGGCAAACAGAACCTTCCTCTTTAGCAGGATTTGGTGATGGCAGAGATCTTGTCAGATCCGCGGAGATGTTGGAGGCCATCAATGACAGAATAAGGTTCTTTGTTGAAGAGTGCGACCATCTGCAGGTGAGTCGTCTTCGTTTTCCCGTCAAGGAGTAGCTGCATGCTTGCTTGCTTTTTTCCTTTTTTTTTTTTCTTTTTTTTTTTGCCTCAAGGAAGGAGGCAGCGCCGAACGTGATTCATCATATCCATCTCTCGCTCGGGATTTGGATAAACAAACTAACACTTGATCTGTTCATCAACAATCGAGTGTCCATACCATTCATTTAGACACATGGGATGGGTGCTCAATTTTTTAATAATAATAATAATAATAATATTATTATTATTGTCATTTTTTAAACCACCACTGCCTTTCCAAGCTGTAGTCCCATTTGGGAAAATGACCTCATCCGAAAAGTTCTGGGGTCCGGCTTAGGGTCGGTAGGAAAAAAAGAAAAGAAAAAAGAAAAGAAAAGATTGGGACCCCACGGTCCATCAGTGAGAAAAAAAAACAAAACAAAAAAAACTAAGGACTTCGGAACCAGCGACTTTGGGGAAGGCCCTCACAAGGTGGAAGTCACACCAGTGCTCTGAGGAATGTATCTGGCCAGCATGTGGGGAAGGCGATTGCTTATGTTTTGGTTTTTGTTTTCCTACTTTTTGTTTCTCGTTGGTGCCCTGCCCGCGAGGAAGGGCGGATTCCACTGGGGGCAGCCAACTGCCTCACTCACGTCATGCTCACACCTGCACTGTAGCAGCCTGTATTGGACCGCGATAGCATCATAAGGGAAGTTTTTTTTTTTTTGTCCTCCATTCGTTTCTCATAGGGACAGATGCCCTCACGGAGGGCACAGTCTCACCATCACCTCATAGAATGTATCTGACGGCTATCACGGCGTGTGAGGAAGTTTCTTGTTTTTCTTCTTCTTCTTCTTCTTTTCTTTTTTTTGTTCTATTTGGGGATGTAACGGCCCTGAGTACCAGTCTAGAAATAAGAATGGGACCCAGGCTCGGCAAAACTCGGTGCGCAATGAAATTCAGTTCCGGGCCTTTCGGCCAAAACAGGATCGGAGGTAGTGGTGGTTTAATACAACTGTCTTCTGCTTATATATGGGGGACAGCTGTTTTTTTTTTTTTTTTTTTTTTTTTTTTTTTTTTCTATTATACTATTCTACTATCAAATCATCCTCACGCTCGCTACCCAGCCAATTGGGAGCGGTGTATTTCTACGGTGGAATAAAAGTCCTTGCTCGAACGCGTGACTGTTTCTGATTTGGCTCTTTCATTCGTAATAGATAGACCGAACCGTTAATGGTACATGGTGGTATTAATTCAGACNTTTTTTTTTTTTTTTTTTTTTTTTTTTTTCAACTATACTATTCTTCTCTCAAATCATCCTCACGCTCGCTACCCAGCCAACTGGGACCGGTATATTTTTACGGTGGAGTAAAATTCCTTGCTCGAACGCGTGACTGTTTCTGATTTGGCTCTTTCATTCGTAATAGATAGACCGAACCGTTAATGGTACATGGTGGTATTAATTCAGACTGAGAGTCATCAGCTGGTTGAGCTCAGTTGGTATGCTATACACCGATGAAGTTTGAAACGGTTTCACCCAGTTAACCCGATATTTGCAGACAGAGAGATTGGATCCCTAGACCTGTGCCCTAACCCTGTACATTGAACCTGTGTGCTGAGTGAGGTTCGATCCCTAGACCTACCCTGTACCCTGTACATTGACCCTGTGTGCTGAGTAAGATTCGATCCCTAGACCTATCCTGTACCCTGTACATAGGCCCAGCGATCTGTGTAGGACTTGATCCCTAGGTCTGTAGGATAGGAGTTGAGTCTGTTACCAGTAGGCCTAAAGTGTCTGTTGTAGAAGTCTCTACCTAAGTCTACTGTGGTCCTAGAGTCTGTCTGTCGGTCTGTAGGTTCTAGAAGTCCGTAGGACCCTGTAGTCCGGTCCAGTCAGCAGGCACTAAGGGAAAGGGGCTGCACGTGGGGACAGGGAAAGGCCTACGCGTTCTGGAGAAGACTCCAGAAGACGTGTATGGGCCCAGGGGCCACACGGTTTGGCCCACGCGGTGAACGCGGTTTGGGGCCCAGCTGTCACACGTTTTGGCCCAGGCCCACGCGGTTTCAGGCAGGGCCCGGGTACCTCCAAAGAAGTATAAATAAACAGGCAGCATCCAGCCATTCATTCATTCGCCTGTGTGCCATGCGGAAGAGATGCCTTGGTATCTTGTGCGTGGAGGACTGCAGGTGCCCGGAGAAGAAGTGGGCTCTGAGGAAGACAGCGGCCATCGTGAACCAGCGAGGGAGACACCGGCGGCCATAGCTAGGAGGAGGAAGAGGACGGCGGCCATAGCCGCCCAGCTGTTGGTGTAGACAGGGTGCACAGAGTGTGTGTGGTTGTGCAGCGTGGACATTCAGGGTGATCCTCGTACGTGCATGCATGTGAGAGTGAGGGAGAGTGAAGCTGGTGGTGATGGTGAGACAGTGTTCGGCAGCCATAGCCGCAAGTTGTACAGTTGGTTCAGACTGAGTTTAATACAAGTTCATTGTTGCTTCTGAGTTGGAAAGAGTTCGGGTTTGCCATCAGTCTTCTAGTGTGCATGTTGTGAGTCTGTCCAGAGACGAGTCTGATTGCAAGTTCATGAACTGATGAAATATAGACCTGAGTTTGAATCCCGATACCGATATAACCAGATGAGTGAGAATAACTCTGAATTTACCTTGGGATGGTAAGTTATGAGAGAATATCTCAAGGCGGTTGCCCGTTTTCAAAGAGGAAAAACTTCAAAAGAGGTATTAGTTGAGAGGGGTGGACCGGGTTGGTGTGTGCAAGCAACTATGTGTGGTGGTGCAAAACCTGTCTGTTTAACAGAAGTTCAAGGCAACAGTATACTAACCCAGTCACTGGTTTATCTGGCTGGTTGGTCTATCGGGGCTCAAGGCAACACTCTGGTGGGTTTACATCATACATGCAAGCGCATGCCGTGCGGAAAATTCCGCATGTTTGGCGCACGAGCAGACCTGCACGGTGCGCGGCACATGTCATGTGGCGCACGGGGGGAATATTCACTCAGAAAAAAAAGGGGTCGCATGCCTGGGTCAATGGTCACCTGCGTTCCCTTTGAAGATTTGTTGTGGGATGGGAAAAAAAAAAAAAAAGAAACTAGTTGGAGAGTAATGCCGTTAAGTAAAGGTCAAGACGGATGTCCCAGACACCTATGTTCTTAGGCTATTTCTCATTCCCAAAAACTGGACGGTAAGAAAAATCTGAACAACTGTACTTGAAAAAGATATGTTCCCTAGGTGGTGCACACTGCTGTATAAACACAAGCACCACCAAAAAAAAAGGGGAAAATTTTTGAAATGCCCCTCCAACAGCCGACTTACCCTGTCGTGCCCCTGGGGCCTTTGAAGTTTCCTGCATGCCCTTGTCAGTGAGGGGTGCAACTTTCCAGCATGCCCCTGTGGCCGTTAGTGGCACTCGAGGACGTTCCCCTGGCCCTGTGAGGGGAGCTACCGGGGCATACTGGAAATTCGGAACCGGTACCGGCTGGGGCATATTGAACATATTTCAGGCCCAAAGGACTCCAGGGGTTTTTCCAAAACTTCAATCGTTTCAGAGGGACGCGACAGGGTAAGTCCGCCGTCGGAGAGGCATACCACAAGTAAATGGAAGTCGGAGGGGCATTTCAAAAATTTTCACCAAAAAAAAAAAAAGAAGGGAAACTGCTGCTGGTACGGCGCCCGAGCAGGTGCGGTTGCAAGTATTGTTTACATGGGTTAAAGGTAACAAATTACAGTAACTGAGTGGTTAAATCTGACTGTTTCACAGCAGGGGTCAAGGGCAAAACAATTCAGTAACTGAGTGAGCGGTTAGTCTCTCTGGCTGTTTTACAGGGTTTCAAAGCAAAGCAGTATAGTAACTGAGTGGTCAAGACATGGCTGGTTTTCAGGGGTTCAAGGGGGGCCAACAGTATAGTAACTGAGTGGTTGATCTGGCTGACTGGTTTACAGGGGTTCCAGGCTATTGTGGATGACTCCGGTGGCTTTGCGGCTGTGGCTGCAGATGTATTGAGTGAGATTGCCGATGACTATGGTCGCTCTCCATGTCTCCTTTTTTCCGTGCGTCCACCTGTTGCAGCTGGTGGATCTATATCTGCTTCCCAGCGGTCCATTTCAGAGATCAACAACAGCTTGTCATATGGGGTGCTGTCGGGGCTGGCCACTTGTTATGTACCCATGGGCCGAAAAGAGTTCATGCCTCAAGGTACGCTGTGGTTTATCATGAGTTGCTGGCTGGCCTTTCGGAAGCAAATTCTTCTTGATGGACTATCTCTGTACTCCCAATCTTGTTCGCAGAGAGGCCCCCTCTGCCGGAACTGGTGGATGCATGACAAACAGGAGACGGGACATGCATATCTGCCAAATCAGCTGGTCTGCAGATGTGTTGAGTGAGGCACCCAAAGGAGAATTTGGTGTATATTTACTATTTAGTGACTGATAGAGCCTTAGGCGGCACGCCCGTCAGTCAGGGCATGCCGTATGTCGGTCGCCTTATCTTAGCTAATTGCTGATGACTGCGGTCGCTCTCCCTTCGTGTCTCCTGTTTGCCGTGCCGTGCGTCCATCCATTTCAGCTGGCCCGCATATAATCAGTCAGGTGTGCTTTTTTTTTTGTCCGAGGGCATGGCTCTATCCAGGCTCATTCCTACAGAGGTTATTTGTCCAATTTACCATTATGTACTATCTAGTATGTACTAGTCAAATGATGAGCAAGGGAGGCGCAGCTACTGGCAAAATGCTCGGTCTGTGCGTTAGCCGGACCCCCACCTGCAGCCCCATCCAATCTCCGACTACTTTTTGTGAAAAGCAAAAAAAAAATGAATTTGAGAGTTGTGGCAGGGGGCAACATGATTTACCTCGTTTGCGAGGCCCTATGCTTGCAGGGGTCCCCTCTATATAGTCTTAGGAGTAGTGGTAGGAAGGTAGTGAAAAGCAAAAGAAAAATGAATTTGAGAGAAAAACATAGTGTAGTTTTGAAAAAGAATAGATGAGATGAGGCTTGCTGAAGCTTGCCTGTAGTTACCCCTTTTTGTTCTGTAGTTGTGCAAGTGGATTCTGGGACACACACACACACACACACACACACACACACACACACACACACACACACACACACACACACACAATATGTGAGGATTATTATTCATTTACAATTTAAATGTTAAATACATTTGCAATGACTCTTAGTCATTGAAGGAAGATTTTCCCATGAGCATTTTGTTGCATAACAGAGAGTAAAGGAGTTGGGATCACGTGTGCTGTACTCTATATGCTTGCCTGTCAGAGAATCCACAGCATGCAGTCTGTTACTTATTGCTGTAGGTAGATGGTCGGGTTATGTTCCTTCCTTGAAGATAAGGAGGGTGGAGATTCTCTTGCAGGTAGATCTCTCAACCACATCCCCCTCTTTGCTCTTCGTCTTCTGCATTCAGTCGTTGATATTACAGGTGTTTGGTTCTGTAGCCTTTTGTTGCCAGCTTTCTGTTACTCTCTCCGAGTCTCTCGTCATCTTCCAATCGGGGGGGGGCGCCGCCCTATTGCTGTGTTTAATGCAAACACCTTTTTGTTTATTTGATGCTCATCTTATTATATGTTCCACCTGTCGTTTATGATTGTGGGCAGTTGGTTATGAACTCCAGCAGAGAAAGATGTCCTGTTTTTCACCTTTTTCCTTTTTTTTTTTTATGTGCTTGTGTGTGGTGTCGTCACATGTAGTTGTGCTGGGGATGGAAATTTTGATGCTGCGGCCTTGCACCTCCCTCTCCCCCTCCCCTTTTTCAGTGCTGTTTCGCATTTCGTTAATTTTGACTGGGGCTTCAAAAGCGTTTTTTGTTTCAAATCAAATGTATATATGAATTTCTTTTCATGGGATTGGAAATCCCACTGGGACTGTCATTGTTCATTCTCCACTGGTCGAGTTGTATGATGCAAGAAGTAGTCCTGATCATCATGCCGTACCTCTCGATGGAATGCAGGTCTGACTGACCTTGAGAGGAGGGCAAACTACTGTCCGTCTTGTCTCGTGCAGGTTCTGAGTTGGGAAGTGGACAAGGGTACTTCCCTCATATCGTTGTCAACGAGGCAAAGCCATACCACACTAGTGCATTGTATGCAGCTGCCATTGAGGCTTGCACATTGCCGTGGCGACTTCGACGAGAAGGGTCGGCTCTTGCAGCTGAAGGTCCTTTGGGCTGCACTGACCTCCATAGCATCGTTAACATGCTACATTTACGAGCACGGATGAATATTGCAGCTGCGGCGATTGCCTTTCCTACATCTGCCATTTCGGGTGAGTTTTTTTTGGCCAGTGTATCCCTCTGTGTTGCTGCCTTTGGAACTCAATTCTCCTCTCAAGTAGTATCATAGTTGCGGCGCACCAGTGCGGAGTGCGGTGTGGGGCGGTGCGCACTGCGCTGTGCGCTGGAACGACAGCGCGCGCACTGTGCGCCGTGTGGTGTGCGCAGTACGCAGTGCTGTCCGCTGTGCGCGGTGCGCGCGCTGAGGGAGTCGCGCACTGTGCGCAAAAAAAAAAAA